TAGGCACTCAGAGAGGAAAATCCATGTATCCAAGCCCACACATCTGGGAAGTGGCAGAACAGGAATTCTCAGTCTTCTGTTCTTTAACCACTACCCTACACTGCCCCTTCGGACCCTCAACCAGGCTTCCAACCTGAGTGTCTACTCCAGCCTCCCCTTGACTAACCTCAGCCAGCCCCCAGGTGGACGCTGAGTACACGGAGCGCACAGCTGTAACTCACAACCTGCGTATCCACTTCCTGGGTTCCAGCTCAGTGGTAAGAACAGGTTCTAGATTCTTTTGGATGTGTGTTAAGTTTCAGCTCCACCTTTCACTAGATGTGTAGCCTCTGGCCAAGTCACTTTAACAGGTGAAGAGTAAATGACATAATGAACGTGAAAATGTCTAGCACAGAAGCTGGCACATTGTGTGTTCTCAGTAAATGGGAAAGACCAGGTCAAGAGTAGCAGAGGTGTCCCGAGAAGCCCTGAAAAGCTGACCCCTAAGTCCATAGACAGCTACCTGGGTTTTCTAACCTCTCTACTTTGCATTTGACCCTTCTGACAAATACATCCTGCCACTATCCCCACCATTAGTGCTCCTTTATAAATCCTTGGGCTTTAGAGTCAGAAAGACCGAGTTACAATCCTGGCTCCACCACTTGCCACCTGTGTGACCCTGGACAAATGAATTTTGCCTCTTTGAGGGTCAGTGTTCTCATCTATAAAATATCAATAATGGCGCCTACTCCACAGGACTGCTGTGAGGATTAGATGATAGTATGCATGTAAATGTTTAGCAAATGGTCAAGCATATAGTAAAGGCTCAGAAAATGTTAACTATTTTTCCTGAATAATAATAACAGTCATAGCAACTTCAAGCTGCCTACTGATTAGAGCACAAACTCCATGACTCAGTATTGAGAGCCTTGCACATTGTGGCCCCTTGCTCCTTCCTGGCCTCTCCTCCCTCCCGCTGTTCCCCTATGTGGATGTCACACTGAATCCCGGTGTGCCCTGCCCACGGCCTTCCTCTCCATTCTCACTTCTGTGCCCTGCCCATGACCTTCCTCTCTATTCTCACCTCTGTGCCCTGCCCATGACCTTCTTCTCCATTCAGAATGCTCTCCACACCTCACGCCTGTCCATACCCTATCCCGCTCAAGCTTCACCTTCCAACTAAGCCCACAGCCTCCTCAATTGCCCTGAGTTTCCACTCTGTCTGCACTTGTCTTACCTCTTCCAGTGGCCACATTTGACTTCCCCTTGCAAGAACTGACCTTTCTCTACTATCAGTCCATGTGTTCCAGGGATGGGCATGAGGCTGAGGTCTTAGACAAAATCGCGCTGATTAATTAAGAGGTGGGCACCTGACCAAAGCTGAGCCAATGAGAATCAGCCTTGGAACTTTTGCTAGAACCACTGAGTAACAGGTGTTCTTTTTCAACAGACACTGCTAAGCTATAGCAATGCAATAGTAGCTGTATTTATCACCTTCAAGCAGACTTAAAAATAAGCCAACAGAGGAACCAAAAAATGGAGAGAGACATATTATAATGGTATTATTTGAGCATCTAAATCCACCCATGCCTTAATCCAGATACCCTTGACTTTTAAGTTACGTGAGTCAAAAACACTTCCCTCATTATTTTTTATTTAAAAAAAAATTATTTTATTTTATTTTATTTTATTTTATTTTATTTTATTTTATTTTATTTTATTTTATTTTATTTAGAGAGGGAGGAAAGGAGAGAGGGAAAAAAAATCAATGTAAAAGAGAAACATCGATCGATTGTCTCCTGTATGAGCCCCAACCAGGGATTGAACTACTTAGGCATGGGCCCCAACAGGGAATTGAACTTGCCACCTGCTGGTGGACGGGATGATGCTCTAACCAACTGAGCCATACTGGCCAGGGCTACCCTCTTTATTTTATTTTAACTTATTTAAGCCAGATTGGGTTGGTTGCTGTCACTTGCCACTGAAAGACTGCTAACCAAAATAGTCATCTAACTAGGTGGTAAGCTTGAGAGCAGGGATTGCATTTTATAGACTTAAAATCCGTAGGGACAGGAATGGTCTCAGTATTGTAGCACCTAGCATACAGGTGATCACAAAGCAGGTAAGGAATAAAGAAAAGAATAAGTATCTCTTTGTATTTTCTCAGTGGTCCAGTGTTCTGCACATGGAAGACTCTAAAATACTTGAATAAAAGTTCACTTGAACAAGAAACATGCAACAAGCATTCAGATTCTTATCTGATACAAACAAGGTCCTTTGCTTCTCTGTAGTTCCTCTGAGGACGACTGATTTCTCACTCTCTGAATGAAATGATCCTGGTGAAAGTATTTTTCTAAGAGCGCCACAAGGCAGAAAGAGATACTTTAAGTCCACTAATCCAACTGATTAGTCCCCCCATTGTAGAAGTGAAAAAACCCCTGAGATTTAAGCTAAAAACAGCTTAACACCACATGGTGAATCAAAGACAGAGTCAGCCAAAACCTCCTATCCCATGACTTGTAGTCCAGTGCTCTGGCCTCTATCCTGGTGTCATTTTATTAAGCAAAATGTATCAGTCTCTTACCCAGAGAACTCAGAAATCTCTAAGCAAAATGGAATAAATGCTCAACTCTGATAACAGCCCTAAGGGGTGGGACAGTTAACCAAGGAAAAGAGCACTGGGCTAGGAGTCAAGACTAGTGTTTACTCACTTTTTGGCTGTGTGACTTTGGGGAAGACCGTAACTTCTCTAGGCTCAGTTTCCTCTCTCTAAAATGGGGGTAGGGGAAGGTGATATTTGAAGAAGCTGATCTCTAAGATCCCTGAAATTCTATAATTGAACAGTTCATCCAGTCCCCAAGATTAAACCCACATGGATTACAGAGAATTAAAAGGCCAAGAGGTCAGCAATCCATCTGCAGACTCCAAATTAAGGCTGAGGAATTGGGGATTCCAACTGAGCATATAGTCTTTCCAGCTTGCCTTTGAAAGAAGAATAGAATGGAAATACATAAAATAATTTTCTGGGTACCACTGAGAAATATGGAGAGATATGCCCCATATCCTACAATTCTCCTTTCTCACCTGCTTCAAAGATCCTAAAAGACCCATTATCTAAGTTGAATGGAGTGAAACAAGCCCATGAGGATGTCTACATGCGAATAAACACTGTCTTCTTCAAAGCAGTTCTTTTGGGAGTTCGGGCAGTTCTTCCAATGGCACAGTAATTCCTCCTGGCATTTGTAGAAGTCCTCTTGGGAAGCAAACCAGCCTCAAGATTTTGCCCTCACACCTCGGCTTTCATCCCAAGTGACAATTGTCCATTTGACCACCCATCATATTTTCTACACTTGACCCTGAGTGACTTCCAGCCATTTCCAAAATCATATCCCTCCTTTAAAAGATGGAAGTTTTGCCCAGCAGGGTGTGGCTCAGCAGTTGAGCATCAACCTAGGATCCAGGAGATCACAGTTAGATTCCCAGTCAGGGCACATGCCCGGGTTGCCGGCTCAATCCCCAGTCAGGGGCCTGTAGGAGGCAGCCAATCAATGACTCTCTCATCATTGATGTTTCTATCTCTCTCTCCCTCTCCCTTCCTCTCTCTGAAATCAATAAAGATATATATTTTTTAAAAAAGATGGAAGTTTCCCCTCAATGATGACCTTCAAGAGCATACACCCCATACTCCAAAGATAATTCTCTGCAATGTTTTCAGCACTGGAAAAATCGACAAGTGATATAACCCTTTCTCCAAGGGACTCTTTTGAAGGGGTCAACACTTGAATGCTAGCCCAAGCCGGGTAGCTCAGGTGGTTAGAGTGTTGTCTCAATATGTCAAGGTTGCAGGTTCAATCTTTAAGCAGGGAACATATAAGAAGCAACCAATGAATGCATAAAATAAGCAAAACTATAAATTTGATGTTTCCCTCTCTTCCTTCCTCTCTCTCTCTAAAATCAATAAAAAAATAATTTTTTAAAAAGCACTTGTTATGTGCTCTGAGGTGCTTATTTTGCAAAACTATCTCTGTTACATGCTCATCACATTTTCCTTTCTCCTTCTCACCCTCAAGGGCTCCAAACTTTTTCCTAGCCTTCATCAGCCCTCCTCCCCCACCCTCTGGCCCCACTTTCTCCAGCCCAACTCTCTTCCCTGCCTGCAATTAAGCAAATGCCCAAGCTGCTGAATCTTCAAAATCTGTCTTCGATCGAAAGGCAGGCAGGCGTGGGGGACTCTAATGGATCCTGGAAAACTGTTTCAGCAGTTTTTATTCCCAAAAGCCCTTCTTCGATTCTTAGGGTAAGATGTCTGTCTTAGCCAAACATTTCAGAGGGTCCCAGGGACTCATCCCCATTTGGGCACAGCACCAGAACCTTCCTCCCTGCACTGAGTGAGGGTGGGGAGTGGAGACCAGTCCTCCAGAGACCCATGTTGCCAGGTGCTATCAACCACCCACACTGCAAACGTTGAATAGACACTACGGACAGCCTCCTCCTATATCTTAGTACAACACTTCAAAGTTTACAAGATACTCTTTCATTTGTTCTTGGAATCCTCTCCACTGTTTTATGGATGAGAAAACGGAGTCTCAGAGAAGTAAAGCGAAGCATCCAAGTTGGTGATGTCAGCAAGTTAAAGGTCAAAGTCAGATCTCCTGAATCTCCATCTCGTGCTTTTTTACAATACAACAAAAACTGTCCACACCTAGAGTAACTCTTCATTCCGATAATTATTTCCCCTAAAGTAGCCAACAGAGAGTCTCAGAGACCCTCAGAGACTGTCTGCCCATATCCAACCACACAGGCCCAAACTCCCAGTTCTAAGGCTCTGACCCATGTCCCAAGCTGTCTCTCCCATAGAATCCTCCCTTCACCACAGTGGCTGCTGAGGTACCCCCGAGGAGGTGTGTTTTTAGACAGGGGAACAGAATCTGTCTCTGACTCCTCCAAGAAAGGATCCTAGAAGGAAGGAGCCCCCGTCCCCGGCGCCTGCTCTAGGGGTCCCGCCCTCGCCCCTCCCTTACCTGCCAAAAGCTGCATCCAGGCGCAGATCTTGTAGACCGTGGCGGTGTTGCAGAAGAAGAAAAGCGCGAAGCAGGTAATGCAGCCGAGGATCAGCACCATGGAGAGCAGCACGAAGAAGGCGGCCGCCTTGAAGGCGCCGGACGGGATGGTGCTGAAGTCAGTGAACGAGCCGCGGCAGGTGAGCTCGCGGCCCGTCAGCCCGCTGCCCACACAGTAGTGGAACAGGCCGAAGTAGCCGGGCTTGGGGGTGCTCACGCTGTCGCCCACCCAGTAGGGCTGGATGAAGACCACCACGTTGATGATGGCGAAGCAGATGGTGAAGATGGCCCACAGCACGCCGATGGCCCGCGAATTCCGCATGTAGTGCTCGTGATAGAGCTTGGAGGCCTCCTGCGAGGGCAGCATGGTGCCCGGGGGCGGGGCCGGCGGCGGC